GGCTCCCAGCGCTGGGACACACACACGGGGGACTGTGTTCGCAGGCGGGGAGCGAGCGCAGCCCGGTGGCACCGCTGGCAGCCTTAACACAAGGTCCCTCGCTTGGCAGGATCACCCGCCTCCGCCTCAGTGCCTAATCGTTTATAGTTCAATTAATGACCTCGAAATCGCTGGGTTTAGTTGCGCGCGTGATCGTGCGGCCCCACTCTGCCGTCGGGCTGACGCGTTCCTTTGTGGGAATGCCGCGACGCTCCCGAGCACCTGCCGGAGCCTCAAGTTTATTCCGAGCCCGCTACGAGGTGGACGGGTTTTGGTTGTGTTCTGACAGCAGTGTCCTTGTCTTCGGGCCTTTAAACAAGGGTCATTAAATCTTCTAAAACCCAACAAATTACAGCAGAAGCTGTGATTATTTCAGAGATGTCATCTGCCACGTTGGGGACAGGGGGCTGGATGTAGCATGTAATTTTTTGGTAAGGTGCTGAGATTTAGGCAAGTGGTGAGCTGGCCCCAGCCTTTCTGCTTCAGTTCCCGGGTGCTGCATGGAAGATGGAGGCACTGGCTGCATGCAGCTTGCCTGTCCCCAGGCCACTCGTGGTGCTCCCCAGCCACCACTCAGATCTCTTTTTTTGGGGGAGCGTGCTCCCAGCACAGTGTGGTGTGGCTGGTGGACTTCCAGCTTGTGATGCTGAGGCAGCAGAGGAGAGAACCTTTTACCTATGAACAATTAAAATATTGTTTATCCTTCTGATTTCTCTGTCACCTTTCTGTTTTTTTGGGGGGAGGGTAGAGGGTTGTTGCTCAGTACAAGAGAGAGACTGTTGCTTAGGAAGGGTTTAAGCAGGGCCTATATTTTTCTTCCCTTTGCAAGTAAATCTGAATTTATGAACCTGTAGCCTGTCTTACCTTATGCTGATAGTAAAAAAGACGAAACGGAGCCAGAAATCTCACCAATGCTTTGATTTTTTGAGTCAAGTTGCTTACTGTTCACTTGGGTAGCATCCAAATCGTGTCACTCGGTCTCAGCCATGCTTGCAACTGAAGCTCCCAGTTATGGGGACAACGTGCACGACAGCTAACGAGTATTTTCTGGAAGAGAACAAAACCTGGGGGGACTGGAGGTGGCCCTCGGTGGGCTGTGCGTGAGGGCATGGCTGCATGCGCCCGCGGGTCTTGAGTCAGGACTGCTGGCTGGCGGAGCATGGCGACGGGCTCTGTGGTCCTCGTTGCAGCAGATGGGGAATACTACACGCCAGACCGGTGTGCCCAGGAGCAGAGGGGGTTTGTGCTGAACGCCACCCTGTTTTGTTGACTGTTTCAAAGCTGACAGCAACAAATTGAATTTAGCATGCACAGCACCAATGCCTTCATGGCTATTTAGAGCAGTGGTGGAAGTGGTGAAGTGCTTGTGACCCACCTGTACAGGTGCTTCATCCATCTTACCTTAACGCTTGTGCCGTTGATGAAGGATTACCAGCACAGCCAAAATCTGCTGCCCGGCTCTCTGCCAGAGAGCGAGGATGGCTGTGTGCTGCACTCTTACTAAATGAATGTGGAGGGGTTAATCCAGACCGTGGGTTGGGTCAGCAAAGACCTTCCCCAAGGGCTCAGTAAATATGGAGAGGAGAGCCGGTTAGCCTGGTGCAGGAGTAACACTGGATGGAGGAGAGGGGCTAAAAGTCAGGGAAACCTTGGCAATGGGTTGACTTAAGGCATGGAGAGTATTCTGAAGGGACCTTTTGGAAGTCTTGTAATGGGAAGTCTTTGATGGGGAAAACCTCAGCAGCTCATGCATGAACACACAGGCCCGATTTGTCCCTTTCTGAGAACCCGGCTTTGAGGTTTCTAAAAGTTTTGTAACCACTGTGGCTGAAAAGGGAGTTCCAAAATCTGGTGGGTGTATATGGCTGCTGTGCCTCCTCCCTGAATCCGTACTCCCTTGCCCTGGGAGGGGGCTGCAGGGAGTCTAAGGGACAGTTAGCCTATTTTGGTGCAGATAGCAGAGCCACTGGCAGGAGCAGAGGCACTGGGGGGGGGGGGGGGGGGGAGGGGGAAAACCCATTTTTTAACGCATTCAGGCTGGGCTGCCCCAATCCCAGAACAGGAGACACAAATCACCATCCCTCTACCTGGGTGCAGCCTGGAGACAGAGGGTCTGGGAACCTCCTTTTATCCAAGGGGGCTCAAGTTATTGGAGAGCTGTTGGTACAAAACAGGTAGCAAAGCTGGTCTCCATCATCTCCTTGCAAAAATTCTCAGCCTGGTGGGGAAGTAGAGCTGAATTTACTTCTATTTCTCATGTCTCCTGTTACACGGGTGGCAGTCTGCCCATCATTTATGACATAGAGCCTGGGCAGAAGCC